AAAAAAAAAAAAAAAAAAAAAATAAAAAAAAAAAAAAGAGCAAACCCCAGCCCGCCACAAAACATAGCCACCCCTCACTTATCCTAGCCAAAGGACTGGACAAAGAGCCAAATCTTCAAGGCCTTCCAAAACTCCAGCAGGGTGGGGCTACCTGGATTTGCAGGGGGGGGGGGTTGAGATCATTCCAGAGGTCAGGTGCTGTGACAGAAGGCATGCTTCCAGGATCCCACCAAATGGTATTTTTTAACTGAAGGAACCCCAAAGGTGCCAACCCTGCTGGATCAAATTGGATACTATGGTAAATAGATGGTCTTTCAAGTAACCAGGCCCTATGATATTTGGAGGGCTGCAGGTTCTGCATACATTTAAAAACAACTGGTAATAACAAATGCATGTTCATTTATTTATACATTCATGCACCACCATTTCTACTTCAAAATTTTTAAAAGTGTGATGAAATTGTTCTGAATGGTTTCATGGCCTTATTAACCTGGGCCAATTAAAGCTGTACCAGGTTCTGCCACACATTCACTTAATATTGTGCTCAGTCCTGGGCTAAAAATATTTCTGTGAAGTGAGCTTTTGGAGTTGGTCCATCACTAAATTAATATGGGATCAGTATGCACCTAGACAAGAGTACTAGTTTCACAACCCACCTCATTTCCACCTTCTATCCTGGGTCTTTCTCTACTTATTTCTAACCATGGTATGAATGTTCTTTGCAAGTTTTTTTCATTCTACCATGTCCACTGCCTTTATCTCATTTCTGGCTCATGAATGAGATAGGCTTAAGCAATCCTTAGTTGGTCTAGTATTATAGATGTGCTTTTCCCCTTAAGCAAGCTGCAACCCATAGCAGTTTCAAAGCCACAGCTGCTGGCCTCCACTGTACCAAATGGTTCGTTGCACCGTCAAATAATTGACTGACTGCTGAGGAAGCAGCACAGTAAAACTGAAAACCTGACTCTAGCAAAACTATTTACACTGGCTGAAATCATGAGAATGTAAATGTTTAAATGTGTAAAAGATTCTTCTTTCTCCCCATCTATAATGGGCCTGAATGGCATTGTCCTTGCCACATGGTGCGCTTGTAGCAGATTTCTCATGAAACACATTGCTGACCAACTGAAATGGCCCAAACAATTGTTCTAACAAATATGCCTGAGGTAGGCAGCCCCAAACAATGAGAAATGCCCAGAAATTTAGGAGAGAGTACTTTGGCAGATTTCTATGAATATGTGCAACATCAGAAGGGCAGGGAAAGAGAGTGAATTCATTTAGTGCAAACCTTCTGAAGTACAGTATGTCCTTATCTAGAAGCAGGGCATCCTTTGTGGAACATGAATCCTCAACTTCTACTGGGGAAAGGTCAGTGCCCATCAGCCATAGGCTTAGTACTAGTAGAGGAGGAAGACCATCTGCTGCTTACATAGGTATTGTACCAATGGAGAGTGTGAGCAGCTTGGGCACCAGGATATCCCGCAGAGCTCTCGGGATAAGCAGTGTCTTCTTACAAGGTCTTCATAGTTCTTGTACAACCATACCACTATCCCAAGGACTGGAAAAGGAACGAATCCTATCTTATGAGAATATGAACAGATGCTTGGTGGATTACATTGAAAAGGTGAAAACTTTGGAACAGGTCAACCAGGAACTTGAAGGACATATCCGTGCTTACCTGAACAAGAAATCTTCCAGTGACAGTAAATGGGGATCTCTGAGGGAGAGCTGGGCAGCCATTTACCATCAGGTAAGTATGAAGCTTTATGGATAGAACAAAAAAAAAAAAATCATTTGTTCACCAAAGCCGACATTCTGATGAGGCTACTTCAGTGCAAACTCACACTACAAGTATATTTCTCCTACATAACACATTTTAATTGTAATCTTCAGAAAAGTAAATGCTATTGTTTACATTGTTTTGCAATATTCAAATTATACTTGAGCATTGCCATAGAGGATCTATGAGTACTGTATTTATTCATCCATTTAGTACATCATTTAGACTCCACACAACTCTGGGCGGCTCACAAGAAAACACAAAAGGAAGAATGAAAAGTTGTCTCTTGTTTCTCTTTGAAGCAGTTATTATGAGTAGGATAAAAAATTAAGAGAAATATTTCCAGAACTGTGAGTTTATGCACTAATGTAACCTTGTTACCAGCTTGATTCTGTGTTTAATGAGGAAGGTGAGATTTTCATTATATTCCCATCCTTATTCATCACATTTTAGAATGATGATTTTATTTAGGGAATAGAGACATTTCTTTGGTCTCTGATGTCTGTCCATGTTGAAGTGGATTTGCATATTTAGTATGTTTTCTGAAACAGCAAGTTATAATTTGTCTACAAATATGGGTATTTTCTCCTTTTTATAGAATGAATTCTCCTTTAAAAATAATCTATTTTATTAATGTCAAGCATAATCCTATATCTTTTCCTTTTATTCTCTGATGTGAAAGGAAAAAATAATAAAAACAATTGTGTGATAGCTTCAAACTACACTAATCAATGACGCTCAGGGAATATTATGCAAAGCAGTTTTTAAAAAAAGTGTTCACAGCATATGGAAGCCTTGTTTGCAAGTCCCACACAACTGCTTTCAAAGCTGATTTCCTACTTTTGGAAGCAATTATCTTACAATAATTATGCAAGTTCAATATACAGGACCTATGATGTTATTGGCTATCCACTCATTTACCAATGGTAAACATGTTCAAAAAAGCTGATGGTGTATATGAAATGACCACATTCATTTAAATCATGCACACAAATGCACAACATTTCATGGGATCAAAACAAACCTTGGGAGTGTGGGGCTCTAACTCCTAAGATCTCTTGCATGTTTGCTGTGAAAGGGCCAAAATCCCGAGAGATGTGTCAACATTTATTTAAAAGTTTTTCTTTTTTACATTTTGGGGTCTGCAGTCATCACTTAGGTATTATCATATTACATCTCAGTGTGCAGTAAATATGCTTGTCTTTAGTCAGTGGTTCACTATGAAGATCCATCCATTTTTTCTCCTCCACTCCACCACCAGGAGAACATTAAAGACATGTCTATGCAAACACCAATTGAGCCAAGCTGTTATTCTAGCACTGAGTTCCACAAATATCCAATTCTGGATACAAACTGTATATATTGTTTATACTTGACTCTTTGAACTGTTATAGGTTGGGGATGCAGTCCTGGAAAATGCCCGCCTCATGTTGCAAACAGAGAATATTCAAGCATGTGCTGAAGATGTTAAAGACAGGTAACATTTCCAAATTAAAAGAAAAAACAAATATTTATTTCAGTATTCATAAAGCAAAGGAGTTGTACTGGAAATAACAGTTGAGGAACTGGAGCTAAAGAACCTGACCCCTTCCATCAGTAGAATGCAACTATGACTTCAATAAGTGGTAATTCTACATGCCACAAGTCTAAACTTTGTGATATTATTTTGACATATTCCCCACTTACACTGCAGGTATGAAAATGAGCAACCATTCCGAAAGGCAGTGGAAGATGAAATTAACTCTCTCTATAAAGTAATTGATCATGCTAATTTGACTAAAGTAGACCTGGAGAATCAGATAGAAAACATGAAGAAAGAACTAGCTTTACTGTCAAAGAATCATGAAGAGGTAAATCAATTCTGAAAAACAAAACATTATATGTATTCTGCTTCTATCTGAACAAAGAATAGAAATGGACTTTATTTTACGTGTGATAATGATAATTTGATACCAGAATTTTAACACCATCAATAAGCAATCTATCTTTCCTGCAATGTAATAATCTATGGATTCTCATTCCATTTCTGTGCAATTGCCCACATGGATTAAAGTCTAGTGCATAGTATTAGAATCAATATCAGAAAAATACTTCATAAGTAGAAGCTATGAAGCCCCTACTTTCTTTTGTGTTCATGTTTAAAATTTCTGGGTGCTGCTCTAGAAATTGTACTAAGTGTTGTAATCTGTAAATAGAGAAAAGTAGACATGTACCTAGTTGCTCCAGAGAATAAGCAATGGGTACTAGCAGTATATATTCACTATCAGTAGTACAGTAGTCTAACCTTTGCTATCATGGCACTGAACATCAGTGGCTGTGGAATCTGAACACTTTTAGTTCCCAGAGATCTGGCTATCCATTATGGGAAGAGTGGTAGATTTGATAGGCTTTCAACTTGTACCAGGATGGCTTTTATATGTACTTATGAGCATCATAATACATGTAATCATGTAAATATAAGCTTTTAAAGCAAGGCAGACCATCTGAGTCTATGGCAGAGTACTGAGATAACTGTTTCATAAGACTGACAGAAGTAAATGATTCTGCAAACCATCTATTCATTTTAAGACATTCTTGAACACTGCTTGTTCCCAAGAGAAATATATTCATATTGTCACCGCTTAAAACACAATGGGAAGATTTATGTTTCTATTAAATTCTATTTAATTTAATAGAATTTTATGATTCTATTATAATAGAATATATTATGAAATACAGGATGAGGAATAAGCTCTCTTTCAACAATCTAACTATAAAGGCAAATGAATTGCATAATGACAAAGTTGCATCAAAGAAAATAACCCCTCTGGCTTGAATTACAATCAGTGCTTCACTTTTTCTGATAAGGATGATTTTATTTATTTATATCAATCTGTCATCTATTTGTAACAATTTTATTTTCAGGATATCAAAATTCTTTACAAACAGCTTGCTTTATCACCACTGGAAGAATCAGAAACCCCCATTGGAACTAGCCTGGATGACATTTTAAAGAATATCCAGATTCACTGGGAAAAAAATATTGAACAAAACCATGCTGAGACTGGCATCTTGCTCCAAGCTAAGGTCAGCTGTAAGAATTAACTTCAAAAATCCTTTTAGGTCAGTCAGACATCATCAAATAGCATATAAGCTTTTGAATTCTCCAGAACTCTTCAAGCAAAACAGTAAATAAAACAAAGAATACAGCAGAAAAGAGTAAAGGATATCAGAGACACAGGATTTGCATTTGGTCCAGGAGCTTTGCAGAAGGGGACAAAAAAGTCATGCAACACATATAAAAAAAGGGACAAGCCTTCAGTCACACAGTTGCAGCTACCATTTTGACTTTTAACCCCCATTGCGGATGTCCCTGACTTGGTGGGTAACGGAGGAAGTTGTAGACATTCAGATTAGGCTCTGTTGGATGCTTTGATAGTTGCAGATTGCAACTAGGATTATCTATAGCGCTGCTGGGATGAAGAAACCAGCAAGCAATTGCTGCTCCTCTATTTATCAAAACATAAAATCAAACTGTTGTATGGAACAATAGTCATCCTTAGGTAAAAGAATGGAAACCCCCAAGCAAATGTGAGTTAGTTACCAAAAAAAAAAATTCAAAGACATGATAGTAATCACTTTATCAGACTAATCCCAAGGCCAAAAAACAGTGTGGCAAGCTTCTGAGTTCTCCAGAATTGTTCATCAGTAGAATGATTATGTGCCATCAAGTTGCTTTCGACTCCTAGCAACCACATAGATATTCTCCACGGCACTCTATCCCTAACTTGTTCTTTCAAGTCTTCCAGCGGTGCATTCATTGCCAGTGTAACTGAGTCCATCCACTTTGCTGCTGGTCAACCTCTTCTTCCCTTTCTTTCCACCTTTTCCAGCATTAGAGCCTTTTCCAGAGGGCTGGGTCTTCACATGTGTCCAAGGTAGGATAGAATAGATGGAACCAAAAAGCTGGCTGCTGTTGAAGCCAAGGAGATTGGCTTAAGAAATGTAACTGTGGGTTCACTGGGTTGGCCCCTGACTAAAACACTCGTACTTACTGTATAAATGTATGGGTCAAGTTAATCTCACTTCAGTTTCATCAGTTTTACTGGGATTGAAGTGAGACTAGTGTAATGTAGATCCAACCCATTTTGTATGCTTCTACGTTTTAATGTAATGTTATTCATTATTAGAGCTATGTAATGCTTCTGATCTGATTAAGAAGAAATGCTTCAAAATGCATGGCAGCACAAATGTAGCCTCTGTCTGTGACTCATTAGAACAGCCACAATCCTGAAAACAAGACAGAGCTGCTTTAATGAGTCACAGGTGCTGTGTTTGCATGCACACAAACTCAGCACTTCTTCCTAACAATCTGAAGCACTATTAATTAGCTAATTAGCAATAAATTTTCTTTCCACTTTTTTCTGACAGTGTTTCTGTTCAAGAATTATATTTATTTACATAAATAATTAAAAAGCTGGATCCAAATCTCAGCAATCTTCCTTTAAATTTTCTCTAATATACCTGTGTAGAAGAGACTGGGAAGTGAAAACAGTGTTTGTTTGTTTATCACTGTTGTATTGTCAGCAATCCACAGAAACAGTGCCTGCTGTACAAACACAAGAGGCAGAGCTGGCTGAATCCCTAAGGGCAGAGTTTCACGAAACAGCTTGTAAAATACAAAGCCTGCAAGTAGAGACTGAATCGCTGAAAACACTGGTAAGTAAGGGACCTGGTTCACATATTGCACTACATCAAAATGTGGTTGGCTTTATTTTGACATGGCATATTGTATGAACCCAGCTGTTATAGTTTATAAACCACAGCTTGTAGCTTAATGCTATGTGAAAATCAGCCACTTATTCAACAAACATAACTCACTAAAGCCTAGATTAGTATGATACGTGAACTCACCACTTCTCCCTTGAACTCATATTCTCTCAGTTTGTCCATGGTACCATTTTTCTACTACAAAAGACGACCTTTTTTCAGGAGGATTCTGTAAGAAGGTGCACACTGGGGGTTAGACCAGAACAAAAATGATTTTTTTCCCCTCTCCCAAGCAGCCAGCTTAGGGAAGAACAGACAGCTCTTACTAGAGGTCTGGATTTCAAATTAACTGAAAAATATCAGGCACCCCTTAGCTAAAGATATAAAACTTTATGTTAAAAGGCTACTACATTTTACAAATCACCATCTTTCCATTCCATTATGAAAATGCTTAGTTCTCTTTTGTCCATATGTATTACAGCAGAGCAGCCATTTTATGAACAGGATCCCCTGCCCCCATGGTCATTTTCTTTTGAGTTGCCCACAACATGTTCTCAATATATCAAATAGCCCCCAAAGCTTGGGGGCTTCCAGACTAACACATTCCTAATAAACAGCTGTCCAGCTCTAAACTGTTTACTGTCAAACAATACTTTCCATCAGTTTTTACAAATCATTAAACCTGCCTTCTGATAAAACAGAAATTATTATTACCATCATTACTAAATTATCCACTTTTAACCTGAAACAATAACAGTATTTAGGTATACATTGTGATAATATGGACATAAAGCTGATGTCATCCAGAAAATACTTTTGACCTTTTAATATTTAGGACAGGAACATTAGCACTATTTAAATATGTATTTTGATGGCCAAATCATCTCTTTGACTGGGATAGTCTGTGCATAGTAGATATTTTGCAGCAATGATACATCAATGTCTTTTTCTTCCAGAAACTCATACCTGAGGTGAGGCTTCCATATTTGCAAAACTAATATGTATGGATTTAATAACAACACCATGTCTTTAAAGACAGGCAGAAGTGATTCGGTGTTCAACATTCTATGAATTCTTTTGTCTTTGCAGAAGAGAGGCTTAGAAAACTCTCTTTATGATGCCAAGCACTGGCATGATATAGAGCTTCAGAATTTAGGCTCTGTCATTGCCAAACTGGAAGCAGAAGTGAGAGAAATCCAAGTAGAAACTGAGCAGCAGCAAAGAAATCATGAGACTCTACTGTCCATTAAAACACAACTCGAGACAGACATTGCTGCATATCACCACCTTCTAGAGACAGGAAACAGGTATTTTTTTTCATGAGCGATGAATTGTGCCTTGAATCTACATAGTAGCATCTCTGGGCCCAAGGAAAGAGGGGGAAATCACTGTGAGTGATTCAGAGGGAAAAAGAGTTGAATGTTCCTAAAGTCATGGGTTACATTCATACAAAATGGTAAGATTCCTGGATTGCCCAACATGCTCCTTCCACCAGCACTTGTACTACAGGAGGGATGAGGACCTCCTCCCAAACCAGGTTATTCCCTCCATGGGATCTCAAGCTAAGCCTCTCCTCCAAGGCTACCCTACTTTTTCTGCACCTTATTCAAGAAGGAAAATTGGAGTGTGGACAAAGCTCTCAGCAGCCAAACTCGGATACCATATCAAAGGGTCTCCCTCTTTTGGAGTCCTTATCCTCTTGTTAAGGTTTTTTGGGTTCCACTGAGGTCATTATGTGTAGCCAGTGCCATTTTGGTTACCTAAGGCTGAGTTTGCTCCAAGAATTGGATTTCAGCACAAAAAAACCCAAGCAGTATTGCTAATAATAAAGAACCAACCCCAAATAATACTTAACAAATGGAAATGGAATGCAATTGTTCACACACTTTATTCATATATGAACTTTCTCCAACTTGATGCCTCTCTAGATTCCAAACACTGTCAGCTAATGGTTCAGTTTGTTCAAAGCCAAGCTTACAATACTGCTTTCTTTGGTCAGAACAAACAACAGCAGGCACCTGCCAAACTGTCAGACTACAATGCCAATCAGTCCTAACTAGTGTTCCCAATAAATCTAGAAGGCACCAGATTGGAATAGGCCACATTTGAATAGGCCACATCCTTAGCTTAGATATATATTGCTTAAGATCTAGTTGTGCTTCCCTCTGTACTTTTTATCAAGAAGACCATGGTAAGAAAATCCTTTACTCATCTAGCAATTTTAAGGTGGCACTTAAAATTAAAACTAACATTAGAAAATTAAAATAGTCTAATTTTAATAAATTAGTAGCATGTTGCATTTGCAATTACCTGCTCTGTAAATAAAAAAGTATCACGTTCAGTTTAGTAACTTCATTTGTATTCTAACATTTATTCAGACAAAATGCCTCTGTTAGTTTTTCATTATAATAATCATTTAGTCACCTTCCACTGTTAGAAGCTAGCCAAATTCTAAGTCAAGCAGAAAATGCAAGTCATATTTTCATCTTCAGAAAGCAGTAACAATTAAAGGTATCAGTTCATAGTTGCTTGGTCTAAATATATATATAAAAAAGGGGGGGGCAGTACAGCCCTCTGAATGGTGTTGAGATAAATCCTCAGCAGAATTTGGCTGTTGATCAAACATGTATTTTAAACATATACCTCAGAGCACTCCAATTTCAAACTGCAACCCCAAAACAATGAAATTTTCTGAACTGAAAAAAATGTAACTTATGGGTTGATACCATCTTTGATCTCTTAAGCCCATAAATAGTAATGATACAGCTTAGTAGCTTCAGCTGACCCCCCTCAGCACCCATTTGGCAGCCCTCAGAACATTCCTAGGCTGCACTGCTGAAATTCAATACTCCAGAGAACTATCAATTTTCTGCACTGCATTTTTTCCAGGTTTTTTGGGGGGGGATATTGGGCAAAGTGGGTGTTGTAAGTCTCTACAGTGCTTAAGACATCCATTTAAATTCCTTAGTACTCCATCCCTCTAAAAATGGGGGGAATAGTTTGGCCCACTCTGATGACAATGTTATATCATGCCCATCTTCAGCCCTTGTAGACTTAAAAAAACACACACACGCACAGTAAAAGTATTGTTCCTTGCCACTGACCATCCTAGCTGTTTATGGATAATTGATTTGCCAAAGGTTAGATAGCTCTTACTAATAGTTTATATGAGTATAAGAGCACATGGTTTCTGAGACATCCCTGATTATCTTAGTGGATCTTCCAAATTAGTTTCTAATGAATGATACCTTATGAGAGACCACATCTGGTAAGTTCCCGATGATCCTACATAAGATCTTGTGAAATTTCAAGAGGGAACACTTGTGAGAGAAATCTTTCTCATAGGAGAAATTTTATGAGACTTAAGAGAAAATCTCAGAAGACTTTAGCAATTGCATGTGAGTTTACTGTACACAAAATTTTGAGAGTGAGATCATCAAAATCTTGGAAGAATTCAATTGTGTTTTAATTTTTTTAAAAATGGCATCTATGTCATTGAACAAGATTGCATAATGGTACCTCATACCTGAAAAGTTTGCTAACTCTGTTGCAAATGCAGAGCTGATATATACAATATATATATATCTGTGTAATTTTCTTATTTCCTCTTACCACATTAATCAAAACATTGTTTTATTAACAAATTGTTCTTTAGGAAATAATAACATGGTACTTTTTGCATTTAACTTTCAGCTGATCTCTTTGTCGTCAGAAGACAGTTATTGTCATTCAAAGGAAAAGATCTTATTGGCAAGTGTTCATGGAAAACATGACAATAAAGTCTCATTCAGCTTGATTTGCCAACCTAAGCAGGCCAGTTTGCCCAATTATACTAAGCACCCTACATGACTGCTTTGCATAAAAAGTATCATAATAGAATAAAGTATCAGGTTGAATTACTGCTGTCCAATTTTTAAAAAAATATTGAAGAACTAAAATAATTCTGCAATCTTATACATGTAACTTGGAAGTTGTACTCCAGTGATCTCAGCAGGATTTACTTCCATCTTAGCAAAAGGCACAACTGAAGAATCAGACTGATGGAACAGTACAGGTAGTCCTCAACTTATGACTTCAGCAACTGTTTGAAGTTATGGCAACGCTGAACAAAAGGACTTATGGCTGGTCCTCGAAGTTATGGCCACTGCAGCACCCTCCCCACAATCATGTGATCAAAATTTGGGTGCTTGGCAGCCTGCCCACAGTTACGACTGCAGGAGTGCTTCAACTCCTCCCACCTGCCTATCTCCCCCATCTATGCCCTTTTGGCCCCCTGCCACAGCTGACCTTCACCGTCTTCTTACTTCTGCTGCTGCTGAGGCATGCCCGCCCTGGCCCTTTGCAAGGCAGCTGCTGGCCATGTTGAGGCTTTCTTCCCAGGTTGCATACAGTCGTTTCCTTGCAAGACCTGGGGAAGATGGCCTCACATGGCCAGCAGCTGCCTCGCAAAGGGCCAGGATGGGAACACCTTATCAGCACCAGGAGCAAGAAGATGGCGAAGGTCAGCTGGGGTGGCGGAGCGCAAGGCAGCAGAGGTCTTGGAGTGCAGGGTGGTGAGGGCGACTGCAGCTGGGACTGGGCTGGGGCTGCTGCAGCGTCCTGGGACATGGCACGCAGCCCAAGAACCACATGGTTCTGGGACTGCTTGCCGCCCCACAAGGCAGGGTGCAGGGCAGCCAAAAGGGCAGAAAGGGGGGGGGGGAGTCGGAGGCAGTCCCTCACTTTAATGAAGTTTGGGGCTGGGGAGGACCAAGCCCGGAACTGCTTGGATTGGGTTGGGTCCTCAGCTAACCACTGGCAGAATTCGCTTAACGACTACAACAGAGAGTGCCGGGAGTGCCGTTGCTAAGCAATGCAATCATGTGATGACTCACTTTATGACTGCATCACTTAGTGATGGAAATTCTGGTCCAAATTGTGGTCGTAAGTTGAGGACTACCTGTATAATCTAAATTGTGTTTTTGTGGAACAAGCTTTGTGTACTACGTCCTAGAAATATTTAACGTAACCTTGTAAGGTTCTTTGAAGTTCAATTTGTGTATTTATTACTGACTGCACTGTACAAGAATGTGGGGTGTTTTCTAGGCTACCCTTTCTGTTCAGCATTGAACAATGGTCTCATCAGAGTCCTTAATTAGCAAGTGCGTATCTTAAACTATCAACCTAGCCAAAGAAGACATGAGTTTTTTAAAAAGCTTAAAAGCAGTTGAAGAGAGCATACTAGAACATACCCCAGTACTGAAAATGGTTTACCTCTGCTATTGGCAATTTTCTAATTTAAATTTCCTACCCCCACACAATCAAGCTGATTTTTATTTTAATTAAGAAATAATAGAGATCCAGCATAGTCCTATATATTTTCTCCTGTGGAGGAAGTCGTAATTTTACAGGAGAGTGAGGATTTAGATTTTGCAAAGAGATGAATGTTGGTTTCCCCTTTCATGACCCCAGTCCAATTCAGCATCTTTCCCTCTCCACAGAGGCTAAGTTTTAAAAGGAGAGATATGCAAAATGCACTATTCCAGGAGCAGAATGTTCTGGAATTCCAGAATGTTCCATTCACATAACAGTAGGTTTTGCACAACCCTATTTTAAAAAATACAGCATCAAATCAGAAGCGTATTTCATCTCAATGTGTTGACCTGACAAAGGATTCCCTGGAGCAACATTTAAAAAATGTCGGCCAACATCTAGAAAGGAGCAAGTGAAAATAGAGAGTTCTTCCAAGAATTAGGTACTTCAAATCCTAACTTTTTTAGGTCAAACTCAATGCCCATAGCATTCACAATGTCTTCCACCTCTTTTGGGGGGGGGGAATGTTACCATTTCTGATCAGACTACGTTAATCTGACAGGAAGTCCTTTTATCATTTTAAGCTATACTTCCAAGCAAAGAGATCTGTGATGCTATGAAACTAAATAGGTCCATTTACAGATAGAGTTGTATGGTTCAACTCTTTTTTAATTATTTCCCTCTTCTGTTTCCACTTTGTGACTTTATCACTTTGTGATAATCAAAAGAAGAATAAACGAATAACCTGATTTTTATAATGGCAAATCAGAATAATGTTTACAAATACATTACTTGGGTGGCATCCCAACCTTACTTCATACAGCATGCTGCAACTCTAATTCACAATGACTACCTTAGCTAATAAAACAGTTTTTAAATGAATAAAAATTGTAAAAGATTAAAAAAAACTTTTGGAGTCATAAACAAGATTCTGAACTGAGCGATCTTAAAAAAGCACATTCAAAGCAACTGAAGAATTGCATTCAACATAGTATTTTATCAATATATGAAACGACTAAGCTTTGCCCCTAATAAGGTATCCCTCGGATCTCAATGTTCTGGCCTTATTGCCGTGCAATAACAAGACCTTAAAACTGCTAATAATTTGGAGCAAAACCTTTTAATCCATTTTGCTCATAATTCTAAAGGGAACTTTCCTGTGGAATTCAGAAATGAGGACAAGCATGAGGAATAGCAACTAGAAGGGTTTGACTACAGACGATTCTAAACTTAGGTCAAGAACATAATTAAAAGGAGAAACCTCCGGTGTCATCGGCCAGACTTCCATAGCCTTTCCTTTCTACCTTCGTCCACGCTTTGGAGAGACACCCCCCCCCCACCATCAGAAGCAAAGTCGAACTGCGCAAACTCCTTTCCCGCCTCATGGCGTATGCCCCCACCAAGCCCCGCCCACCACATGCCAACGAATCGCTTGATTCTCAAAATTCTGCCGCCCCTCCTCCTCCTCACGCACGCACACTAGATCATTCACCAGCAGCAATTTTTAACGTTCGCTGCTGCCGGCACTCACTTTGCTATGCAAGCGTCCGTGCCCTCCCGCGCCTTCTGATTGGCTCCAAGACCCTTCTTTTCTTTCAGCGGGTTGGTCGGCGGAGAGACAAGTGCATGCGCTCTCCCTCCTTCCCGTTCCGATGCCCAATAAGGCGTCGCTTTGAGTACCACGTTAGAAAAGCTCTGCTTCTTGACGGCGCCCCTCCCTCTCTTCTTCCCAACCTCCGCCTTCGGCTGTGACAAGTGGTGGCCACCAACGTGGAGAGCGGAAGCTGCTGTGCTCTTCTTCGAACGGACTGCGCCGAGGCAGGAGAAGGGAAGGCGCGCGGGCGGCGACGGTTTGAGCTTGGACCTTCTGCTTCCCGCGAGAGAACGGGAGCGGCGGGGACCAGACGAACGTAAGGCGCACGCGAGGCTGCTGGGTGGCGCCGAGTTCTCACCTGAGGGGAAGTCACCTCTCACCGCCCTTCCTCCCCTCCCCGCAACCACTGAGGGTTTGGGGGTCGCCAACTGCCCTTGCGAGGGAGACGCGCCTGGTCAGTCCGTCAGTCATAACCGGTCTGAACCGGAGTGTGAGGAGGAGCTACCACCGCCACCGTCATGGCTGAAACCGAGGAGAGGAGCTTAGACGACTTTTTCGCGAAGCGAGACAAAAAGAAACGGAAAGAGAAAAGCAGCCGGGGAAGTGCCACTGCCGCGGCTTCCTCCGCCGCCTGTTCTTCCGCCCCTGCCGCGGGTGGGGGTGGGGGGACGGGGGGAGCAGGGGAGGGGCAG